TTTTTTTTTTTTTTTTTGTAATTTAAATATTTAAACTTAGTTTCGATGACCTAATTAATCCTTGTAAATTTTACGTTTACTATATAAGTGAAAATAAATGTATCCAAATTAAAAAAATAAAATTTTTGTATGAGACAGTTTAATCGTTAGTTAGATCGACTCGTCATATTATTTTTTAAAAAATATACTTATATAGAATATCACACTTTTGTTTATATTTTTCTTATATTAATGTTTCAATTATAATTTTTCATATATATATATATTGATAATTTATAAATAACAATAATCATACTCATCTAGAAAATATATATATATATAGAAAGATTCAAATTAACATTTTTATTTTATTTATTTAATTTAATATATTCTTACATTCTTTGCAGCAGCACTGAAGGCCTCCCTGTGACTGATATCTGGGTTTCCAGCTTTGATACGTTGGATCTCATCCCTGCAAAATTAATTAAAAATATTCATCCTAATTAAATTAAATTGTCAATAAATTACATACTCATATTATTTTGCTAATAAATAACTAATAATAATAATAAGTAACTACATTAATTAATTTGAAATGAAGTCAACATATATATTATGGCATTAAAAGAAGCTGCAATAAAGCTGACATAACACAAATTCATGCTTACACCCAACACAACACATCTATAGGGTAGGGCTCAGTACATACATATATTTGTACATTTATATATCTGTGTGTGTGTGTGTGTGTGTGATTGCATTTAATTTTTTTTTAAAGAAAAAGATTTTATTTTGAAAAAAAAAAGAATTAATTAAAAAAAATAGTACTGTACTAATTACTTACTTGATAAAGCGATTGTAAGCAGAGGGCACACGCTGTCTTTTTTCTGGAGCTGAAAATTTGTGTACATTATAATAAATATAAATAAATAAATGAATGGGAGATGCTAGAGTTCCGTTACGGAACCATTTCGTTGGGGTTTGTAACTGTTAGATTATTATGTAACCGTCGGGAATTAGTTGATCTAACAGTTACAAACTCTGACGAAATGGTTCCGTAACGAGACGGGACGATAGCATTTTCCTAAATAAATAAGGGAACAATTAATGAAACAAAAAAACAGACAAACACAATAATAAATAAATGATGATAACTTGGCAACTTTCCTTTACTGTCTCATTCACATTTTTATTTTTTTTCTCTTTCTCATCACAACTTCATCATTATCTAATGATTTTTGGTCCCTTTTTTTTTTCTATCATGAAAACCTAGGAAGATGAGGTTAGTCTCTATTTTTTCTTTTCAATCTTAGAAAAGGGTCACAATTTTTTTTCAAAACATGAGAATCGATAAATATTCGGAATTTCGAAAAACCGATCGAGTCCGGTGGATTTTTCGAAAAAACTAAGTTCGAAAAATCGGAATCTCATCTTTACAGACTATGGGGGGACCTAATTGAGTACACTATATTTCTTTAGAAACTAAGCTCGAAATCTTGAAATCTCAAAAAGGAAAGAAGGTGAAAACATGGAAAAACAAGAAAAAAATACAAGATTTAGGGTTAGCTAAAAACTGTACCATGAAATAATTTGGTTAGCTAATAACTTGTATATTTTTTTTTTTTAAAAAAACTAACTTTTCTTTTTATTTTATTTTCTTTTTTATGCTCCCAAATTAATTCTTATAATTTGATTAGCTAAATAAAAACTGTACCCATTAAATAAAAAAGTTCAGTTTAAATCTTGAAGTTCATGGTGACTTAGAAAATATTCGCCGGATAAAACTAATGTTCTGTGGGTTCACTTCACATACGCATCAAGATCTGTGGATTAATGTAAAGGATAAATTTAACTAAAATTAAGAAAGAAAGAAAAAAGAAAGAAAAAGAAAGTTACGTCGTTTAGCCGCCGGAGCCTTGGGAAGCTCGTCGATTTCTCGGACGGGAAAGAAGGGCTCGTTTGGATTCCCCTGGTTCATCACCAAGTTTGCCGGCGAGCTCCTACCGATCTCCTCCTGCACCGAAAACCGACACCCAAATAGTCCCTCAACTCAAAAAACAAATAAATAAAATCAAGAAAGTGATATATGCCAACCAATTTATTTCCACATTTGGAAACCCTAGCTAGCCCTATTTTCTTGATATCATTTGTGCATATGTAGGTTACCATAAGGTTTTGAGGGTTCAAAAACGAGTGGCCGAGATGAAGCTGGTTGGCCGGTGAAGGGAGGAGTAGCGCACGCATGTTGACCGAGAGGAGGCTGGTGCAGTGCCCGCATCGCACCGCGACAGTCTTCAACAGGCTCGTGCACGGCACGCTCACCTGATTTAATCCATTTCAAGGAAATCTTTTAGAAAGTTCAAGTTAAATTTAGGTACTAAAGTTTTTTATTTTCTGAGGAAAATGAGGATATGTGTAATCATATGTATATGTGTATATATATGTACCACAAGTACAGTGTCGCAATGGCGGCAATGGACGTAACAGAGCTGCTCGGAGGACGGTGATGATGAGAGGTGGTGGTGGTGGTGGTCCGGAGCATAGACTGATGATGACGACATAATTCGTTTTCGATTTTTTTTTTTTTTTTTTGTTTGGCTCTTCTCTTTGGGAGTGAGTGAATGATTGATTTGATTGATGGGTAGATTGACTGATCGAGGTATGTATGTGTGTATATAGGGGAAGGGCTTTGGTTTTATGACAGGTTATTAAATTTAACCAACTTGGTTGGGTCTCACCTTCTCAAGG